CGCTCGATCAATGGATAGCAGCACCTCGTCCTGCTCTGGAGCCTGAAGAGGAGAGAGAGAGAGAGAGAGAGAGAGAGAGAGAGAGAGGGGTTATCATCACCACACACACACACACACACACACACACGTTATCAGTTCTTGCTTTCCCTGGGAATCGAACTCATGACCATGGGGTTGCAAGCGCCAGCGCTCTCCTGTTTGAGCTTCAGGACACCAGAGTCATTGAGTTCTGCAGATGTTCTTTATTATTATATTACTGTACGTCTTACTGCCGTTCTCTATATGCGTCACAGTGTGTGTGTGTGTGTGTGTGTGTGTGTGTATATATATATAGGGTGAGACGCAGTAAAACGACTCTCTACCCGCCGGTGTAAACGAGCTCTGATTTCTGCAGAATATGCAAAAAAAATTTAAATTTCTAAAATAATGTCATTAATGTAAAAAATAAAATAAAGAACATATTAATGCATGTATGTTGACAACTTATCTAAGTTGGATTGACATAAAAACATACAGCTACTCTATGTATGAATAGTCTATGAACTGTGTAGTTGTTTAAAGGGATGTCATAATAATAAACTAGGAATCCAGACTGAATGATTCTGGTCAGGTTATGATGAATACTGAAGAGGTTGTATACATTGGATATATATATATATATATGATGTCTCACCGGTATTTTCTCTATGTAAGTGGCCGGGATGTAGCCCGTCTCCCCGGAGCGGCAGCGCGTCGCGAGCCACCAGTGCGCGCTACTGCGCTCGAGGATGAGGAAAGACTCGCCCGCGGGGAAGCGCAGCGCGTTGCTCTCCGCTGAGCTGAAGGCGAACAACGCGCGATACATCATCCAACACTGACGCGTCCGTCACGCGTTAATGGCGCACTCGGAGAACAGAAGAAGCGCGATCATAATATCTTCAGATCATGTTGAACGCGCGAGTCGGTGAACCGCAGCCCCTGTCCCGTAAACACGTCAGCGGGCGCGCGCACTGGCTGTCACGCGCCCTGCAGGGAAAATAATCGTGCTCAGAGTCTGTGCAGCTGATTCACGTTAATCACAGAGATTGAATATTATTATTGGCATGCTGGAGCTTAAATAAAACAATAGCTGAACACTGAAATGTGAAAGAGAACCATATAGAGCTATGAAGCTGTTAGATTTTAAACATAAAGATATGCAGAGGAGATATGTCATCCTGCGGAGGATGTTGTGTGTGCCAGTCAAACGTGTCCGTGTGCACACGAGCGCGTGCGTGAGTTCCGCGCGTCATGGCCGCTGCGAGCTGCGCGAGGTTGCTGTCCCCGCGATGCGTTCACGGACTCCGGCTCGGTTCCAGGGTTCTTCCAGCTCTGACCCGGTAAACCTGTTGCAGCAGATGCGGCGAATCACTCTAGTGTGCTTGATAGTGTGTAGTTACTGTAAATAGTACGTGAAACAATATTAGAGCAGTATATGCAACATTGTCACATGACCTTTTCATGTTAGGTTTAATTAGCATGCTTAAGTCGTGTCCAGCTTTCTATATAAATAAAACAATTATTTAAAATCTTCTATGAAAAAAATTAAGTGTTGTCAGTCTTAAATAATGAGTCAAGAGAGAAATGTCAAAGTCACGGTTGATATGGTACTTATGCAGATTGATTCATTTAACTTAAAAATAGAAGGTCAAGTCAAGCGCACTGCATTATGGGACACAGTGTTCAGATTTGCAGTTCTTCTTCATTATGAAAGTTTATTATCTGCATGCGTTTTAAAGCCATATCAGTCAAAAACACACAAAGTTCACATAAACACAGTCGGTTTTTATAGATAGATAGATAGATAGATAGATATTTATTAGTCCTTACGGAAATTCATTTTGTGTCATACAGCAAACGTCAGATCAAAAACATGTGTGTGAACATAAACAGCAGGGAAATAAATCGCATGTGTATATTAGATCAGTGTATTAAACTGACAGCAGTGTAACATACAGAACCTACTGCTATATATGCTGTTAATATGAATCAAACAACTAAAGAAAAAGAGAAAATCACTCACAGCTCTTGACTGAATAACTTTAGTAGCTTTGATAAGAATATTTCTCACTTGAATGCTGTTAAACGCTCTGGTGATGAGATAAACATGGTGGACTGTGTGCAGCTCACTCAATGCTAATAATGGGGCGGAGTCCGTCAGCAGTCATGGGCGGGGCCTGTACTAATAGGGTGGAGTCTGTAAGCAGTCATGGGCGGGGCCTGTACTAATAGGGTGGAGTCTGTAAGCAGTCATGGGCGGGGCCTGTTCTAATAGGGTGGAGTCTGTAAGCAGTCATGGGCGGGGCCTGTTCTAATAGGGTGGAGTCTGTAAGCAGTCATGGGCGGGGCCTGTACTAATAGGGTGGAGTCTGAAAGCAGTCATGGGCGGGGCCTGTACTAATAGGGTAGAGTCTGTAAGCAGTCATGGGCGGGGCCTGTACTAATAGGGTGGAGTCTGTAAGCAGTCATGGGCGGGGCCTGTACTAATAGGGTGGAGTCTGAAAGCAGTCATGGGCGGGGCCTGTACTAATAGGGTGGAGTCTGTAAGCAGTCATGGGCGGGGCCTGTACTAATAGTGTGGAGTCTGTAAGCAGTCATGGGCGGGGCCTGTACTAATAGGGTGGAGTCTGTAAGCAGTCATGGGCGGGGCCTGTACTAATAGGGTGGAGTCTGTAAGCAGTCATGGGCGGGGCCTGTACTAATAGGGTGGAGTCTGAAAGCAGTCATGGGCGGGCCTGTACTAATAGGGTGGAGTCTGTAAGCAGTCATGGGCGGGCCTGTACTAATAGGGTAGAGTCTGTAAGCAGTCATGGGCGGGGCCTGTACTAATAGGGTGGAGTCTGAAAGCAGTCATGGGCGGGGCCTGTACTAATAGGGTGGAGTCTGTAAGCAGTCATGGGCGGGGCCTGTACTAATAGGGTGGAGTCTGAAAGCAGTCATGGGCGGGGCCTGTACTAATAGGGTGGAGTCTGTAAGCAGTCATGGGCGGGCCTGTACTAATAGGGTGGAGTCTGTAAGCAGTCATGGGCGGGGCCTGTACTAATAGGGTGGAGTCTGTAAGCAGTCATGGGCGGGGCCTGTACTAATAGGGTAGTCTGTAAGCAGTCATGGGCGGGGCCTGTACTAATAGGGTGGAGTCTGGAAGCAGTCGTGGGCGGGCCTGTACTAATAGGGTGGAGTCTGTAAGCAGTCATGGGCGGGGCCTGTACTAATAGGGTGGAGTCTGTAAGCAGTCATGGGCGGGGCCTGTACTAATAGGGTGGAGTCTGTAAGCAGTCATGGGCGGGCCTGTACTAATAGGGTGGAGTCTGTAAGCAGTCATGGGCGGGGCCTGTACTAATAGGGTGGAGTCTGTAAGCAGTCATGGGCGGGGCCTGTACTAATAGGGTGGAGTCTGTAAGCAGTCATGGGCGGGGCCTGTACTAGGGCTGCACGATTTGGGCCAAAATGATAATCACGATTATTTTGATCAATATTGAGATCACGATTAATTATCACGATTTTTTGTTGATTTTAACCAAAACAAATTTTGTCACATAGGCTAATTATAACTGCTTTCACGTCCATATTGTGCTACATTCCTGCTAATGTACAACTATGTGCATCAAAATAAAACAGGTCCTCTTATTCACTAGAATTCAGTGCATCTCCTAAAAGAATAAATAAAAATAAAATTAAACAATAAAGAAAATGTAGCAAAACTTCAACAGGGCACTATTTTACATTGTGTAAATATATTTTAGGAAGCAAAATGTAAACTTGCATTGTACCTGCATAATGGATGTGAATAAAACGTGCAAAATATACAATCAATAAAAAACAAATATTCCATAACAGAATGTAACCAAATGAGAACATGTCAAGGCAGAACTGCACTATGGAAGTTCGATTAATGGATGAAATTCAGAGTTATTGTTGTTTGACGCTTAAGAAAAGTAAAATGTTGTGGTACAGTGTCAGTGATTAGTTGTGAAGTCTTACTGCATAACTTGAATCTATTTAATCCTCCATATGAAAGTTTATGTGCTCGAATTATTTCTATTTATTAAACAATAGTTCAAAACAAGACGTTTGTAGTAGGCTATGATTATTGGAGTCCATTAATCGAACTTCCACATGCCTCTTATATAGTAATTATATATTACTGTTGTATGTACCAATTTACTAATGCTCACACGACGGTCTCTCACGCGCACTGTCACTCGGTCGACGGTCTCTTTCGCGCGCAGACACACTCGGTATCTCTCGCGCACTTTCGAGCGCGCACTTGGACACTCGGTCTCTCTAGTGCACTGTCGCTCGCGTGCAGACACTCGGTCTCTCTAGTGGACTCTCTCAGATAGTGGTTTACAGAGCGCTAGATTGGCTTTGCAAAAAAAAAAAAAAAAACTGATACGGAGCGAGCGTTCTGTGAACGGAATGAGGCATTTTAAATATCGCTCGATCGCGCGAATTTGATCGTGGGAAGCCAAAATCGTGATCGTGATTAAAATTCGATTAATCGCGCAGCCCTAGCCTGTACTAATATGGCGGAGTCCGTGGGTGAGGTCTATGCTAATAGGGCAGAGTCCGTGGGTGAGGTCTATGCTAATAGGGCGGAGTACATGGGCGGGGTCTATGCTAATAGGGCAGAGTCCGTGGGTGAGGTCTATGCTAATAGGGCGGAGTACATGGGCAGGGTCTATGCTAATAGGGCAGAGTCCGTGGGTGAGGTCTATACTAATAGGGCGGAGTACATGGGCGGGGTCTATGCTAATAGGGCAGAGTCCGTGGGTGAGGTCTATGCTAATAGGGCGGAGTCCATGGGTGAGGTCTATGTTAATAGGGCAGAGTTTGTGGGCGGGTCTATACTAATAGGGCGGAGTCTGTGTGTGAGGTCTATGTTAATAGGGCGGAGTCCGTGGGCGGGATCCATGCTAATAGGGCGGAGTACATGGGCGGGGTCTATGCTAATAGGGCGGAGTCCATGGGTGAGGTCTATGTTAATAGGGCGGAGTCCATGGGTGAGGTCTATGTTAATAGGGCAGAGTTTGTGGGTGAGGTCTATGCTAATAGGGTGGAGTCTGTGGGCGGGTCTATACTAATAGGGCGGAGTCTGTGTGTGAGGTCTATGTTAATAGGGCGGAGTCCGTGGGCGGGATCCATGCTAATAGGGCGGAGTCCGTGAGCTGGGTCTATGCTAATAGCGCGGAGTCCGTGGGTGAGGTCTATGCTAATAGGGCGGAGTACATGGGCGGGGTCTATGTTAATAGGGCAGAGTTTGTGGGTGAGGTCTATGCTAATAGGGTGGAGTCTGTGGGCGGGTCTATACTAATAGGGCGGAGTCTGTGTGTGAGGTCTATGTTAATAGGGCGGAGTCCGTGGGCGGGATCCATGCTAATAGGGCGGAGTCCGTGAGCTGGGTCTATGCTAATAGCGCGGAGTCCGTGGGTGAGGTCTATGCTAATAGGGTGGAGTCCGTGGGCGGGGTCCGTGGGTGAGGTCTATGGTAATAGGGGCGGAGCCCTGGAGCTGGGTCTATGGTAATAGGGAGGAGTCTTTCAGCGATCGTGGGCGGGGCCTAAGCATATGTGACGTCACACTGCTAGAGTCTGCAAACGGCTTGTTCTGAGACGCTGCTTATGATTTATGGGGATTAAAAAAAAGGAGTGGGTGGATTTTTATCATTATAGGGTGGTTGTGTACACACACTGCCGACACATGTACAAACACCATGTAAAGTGTGGCCCCCTTTAATGCTCCTGTAATCTGTGATGTGCTCCTGTAGAGCGGCCCCGGTGCGCAGCCACGGGCTCGGCCCCGCGGATGACGAGCTGTACCAGAGGACCTCAGTGACCGTGATGCAGAAGGAGCCCGACGGGGCCGCCATCATCTACAGCTACAGCCCCCAAGGATTCAACATCAGCGGCAACCGCGTGCTGGGCCCGTGTGCCCTGGTGCCGCCCGCCATCCTGCAGTGGAACGTGAGCTAACGTCGAACGCTGCACTCATGCTTCACGCTAGCTCCGCGCTCACTGCTGTGTGTTTGCTGTCGCAGGTGGGCCATCACACCGACATCACAGCCGAGAGCTTGTCTCTGTTTCATCTGCTGGAGCCGCGCATCGGTGAGCAAACACACACGCCTGCACTCCAGCGCCCCCTACTGTCTCCAGCGTGAAGAGCCGCCGGATGACGTCACTTCACATCTGTTTCCTCTCCTAATCTGAGCTCACACACTGTATTCTCATATAATATAAAGATGTTCTCATTTACAAAATGTTCTGTCAGACAGCGAAACCAGTATGAAATAATGACTGGCTACATGTTAACCAGCAGGTTTTTGAAATCTAGCGGCAACACTGGTGCGTGTGATGCGGTACTGATACTGTACACTGATGATACTGTAGTGCTCTACTGTAAAGGCTAGTCAGCTTGCAGCAGGGTTATATTAGCATGAATGAGATACTATTATAGTTTTTGTTTTCAAAAAAAAATGTTTGTATAGTTTTTAATTAATTTCAGTTTTAGTTATTTTAGTACATCAAGTTAAACTAAATAAAAATTAAAACATTTTAAAAATATTTTATTTCATTTCTAATGGAGCACCGCACATGATTTAAACATAAATTGTGCGTACGATATATTAATTTGTTCCCTCGTTTTTAAACGTAAATCATGCTTACTATATAATAATTAATTCCCTCGTTTTAAAGGTGCATTGCGCAAGTCTCTGAGTTTTTGCAGAACTATGCCCCCCTCTGGCGACAAGCGGTACAAGCCGGTCTCTTTGAATCCATCTTCTACTTTTGTCGAAACTTGACTAAAGTTTTGTCGCTCGAGTTGTCTTCGCTGATACGGAGAATGGCGGCGAATACACAAACCTGCCAGACATAGCCAGGTGATCGTGAACGCGCGTGACGTCACGGCCAGTCTCAAACTCCGGCCCGAATCCCTCTTATTTATTTTACTGTACAGGATTATAGAGGCAATCGCAGTGATCAGAGAAGGGCTCATTCAGCCCATCAGGCAATTGTTCAAGCATGTATGGGTTAGAAAAACGGGTATATTTAACATGAAATGTTGCGCAATGCACCTTTAAGTCAATCGTGCGTACGATATAATAATTCGTTCCCACTTTTTAAAGTAAATTGTGCGTACGTACGATATAGTAATTTGTTCCCTCGTTTTACTACATCATGTCCACATTGTGATAATTTATTCCCTTGTTTTAGGGCTCCATGTATTTCTATTTTACTTCAAGCAATGGAAATGATGTTTTAGCTAATAGTAAGTGGATGATGTTGCAGAGGTCCTGGTTTTGGGGACGGGAGCTCGTACTGAACGCCTGGACCCGAGCGTGCTGGACTTCCTGAGGAAGAAAGGCATCGCTGTGGAGGTGCAGGACACGGTAACGCCTCACGCTCTCCACACTTTACTAAACATCCCGCGAGCGCAGGGTAACCGCTTGAAACTCTTCTCTTGCAGCCGAACGCATGTGCGACGTTCAACTTTCTGTCCAGCGAGAGACGATTGGTAGCAGCCGGTCTGATCCCCCCCCCGCCCTCGAGCGCCAGCCAATGACAGCGTCGCGCTTGGTGATGTCATCTCCTCTTTTGTGTCACGTGACCTCTGTAAATGTCTTTATGCTGATGAATGTAGAGTGAAGACAGATTAAAGGTATTAAACACTTGTGTGTGTGTCCCAGATTGAGGCTGTTAATCCGTCTCTCTGTCCTCTGTGATAACGGGTTAATCTGAGCTCATGAACACACACTCGTCATCATGTGCACATCTTTATTACCGTCTACCACACAAACATCACAGAACACACAGAAGTGGACTACTGTTGGAAAACATGAACGTGAAGGAAACACTTACAACAAACATCAGTGATCATGTTCAAAAGAAAAGATCTGTGTTGGTTTGACTCTAGAGTTGATTTGAATTAGCTAAGGCTTCATCTACATTAATCCAGACACAGGTATGGTTCGTCCTTCTCAAGCGGATACATGTTATAGTTTGGTCTGAAAACGATGCACACGTTTAGTCATGTGACACCTATCGTACCCATAAATATCCATGTCTATTAGTGCACTTCACTTTCGTAATGTTGCCAAAGATGAATCTGACTTTGTAGAATCTTCATATTACATTCCTGCACAGGTGACAGATGTACTGCGGTCCAACATGAGAACGATTGCCTTTGAGACCAAACATGGCGATTTAGTGAGACCAGTAAAAGTGGCCAGATAATTTGCTAATATAATGATCACGTCAGAAGAATTGTCTCAAGTCTGGTCTCTCGCTATCATCTCAGGGAGCTTTTATCAGGTTTCATGCAGTAAGTGTTTTCAGTGTGGACAAGAAACTTTTGGAAAGTGGATTTCAGATGAATCTGGATTAATGTAGATGCAGCCTGATGTAGTTTCGTGTTTCTGACCCTGAAAACCAACAGCAGGGGCAAATCCTTAAAGGATCAGGGGTCTCATTTATAAAGCGTGCGTACGCACAAAACGGGGCTGGAAACGTACGTACGCCAGTTTCCACGCAAAGGTTGTGAACTATGAAAAACAAACTTGACGGGAGAATGTGCGCACCTTTAAGCAAACTTTGAGCCGTGCGTACGCACATTCTGGAGACAAAGGGAATTGGCGACACAGATGGTGAGTTGGAGTTAAATGTCTTTTTGGTCACTTTTAGACAGAAAATCTAAAGAAAATGATACATATACAGAAACATAATACAAACTCACCAAGCCTATCACTTGAAGCAAATATCCATCCCTTCTTAAATGCCGCATATTTAGCCTATCTAACGGCAGATGAAGTAAAACCATAAATCTTTATTATGAGTCATAATCATAAATAGAGTGCATGTTCACAATGACACTTTAAATAAATAAAATAATGATTTAAACTATGTTTTACTTTTGATATAAACATTTAGATTAAATATGCCATTCCCATTAATGGAGTTATAAACACTTAAACTACATGAAATCATTACTGAGAAGTTACAACATTTTTTTTATATTCAATAAATAGAAATATTTGTTGTGGATGCAATGCTTTTGAACACTTTTCCTCTGGCATTCTGTGTTTTAATGTTTTACATACATAATTGCTTATCATGATAATAGCAGATTGTCTGAGAAAATAGTTTCGTACAAATAATCCACAAGGTCTATCTGTTTCCATTAAAAATATAATAAATTAAAAATAGTATTTGGCCAGTGAGATTGAGAAACTTTCTCTGAAATGTATTTTACACTATTTGATTTATTTATTCAAAAACAAGGCAAGGATAGGCTTATGATTTTTATTAATGTAGCCTAATGTGACAGCACATCCGTATTTCATATTTTCCTAATGTCTTGTATCGTTAAACATGGTATCACGTGGATGAATAATCATATGCAAATGATATGCAGATGAGGATATGCATAGTAAAACTAGGCGTTGTGAGCTCCATATATGGTTATTTCGGGGAGGAGACGCATGTGCGCACGTTCTTCCGCTGACTGGGATTTATAAAGTGAATTTTGCGCAGGTTCTGGCGTACGAACGGTTTTATAAGTCTGAATATTTTTTAGCGTACGCCATTTTTGGCTTTCGGGCGCACGTACACTTTTAGTAAGGATCCTACGCACAGTTTTATAAATGAGACCCCTGATCCTTAAAAGGATCGTCCGCCCAAAAACCATCGTTCTGTCATCATTTACTCGTTCAAAACCTGCATGACTTTCGTTCTTCAGTAGATATTTTGAAGGACCCCCAGATACAGTGTTTCTTAGTTGTGTTGGAACGTTAATGATGACAGAAGGATGAGGTTTGGCTGATCGATCCCTCGTTCACTCGTCAGAATCGCCGTCACCGTCTCGGGGGTTCCTGAAGATGAACTCTGACCCCGTGATGCGGCGGTACAGATCCATGATATCTTCGGTCTCTGTCTCGAAGTGCGTTGTGGGGTCATACGATCGAGAGATGAAGATCTAGACGAGAAACACAATGAAACCCATGAATCAGCGGCGCTGGCGTCACGTGACACTAGAGATTTAAACACCCACGCAGCCTCCTTCCTAAACACCCACGCAGTCTCCTTCCTAAACCCCCACGCAGCCTCCTTCCTAAACACCCACGCAGTCTCCTTCCTAAACACCCACGCAGTCTCCTTCCTAAACACCCACGCAGTCTCCTTCCTAAACACCCACGCAGTCTCCTTCCTAAACACCCACGCAGCCTCCTTCCTAAACACCCACGCAGTCTCCTTCCTAAACACCAGGCAGTCTCCTTCCTAAACACCCACGCAGTCTCCTTCCTAAACACCCACGCAGTCTCCTTCCTAAACACCCACGCAGCCTCCTTCCTAAACACCCACGCAGTCTCCTTCCTAAACACCCACGCAGCCTCCTTCCTAAACACCCACGCAGTCTCCTTTCTAAACACCCTCCTTCCTAAACACCCACGCAGCCTCCTTCCTAAACACCCACGCAGTCTCCTTCCTAAACACCCACGCAGTCTCCTTCCTAAACACCAGGCAGTCTCCTTCCTAAACACCCACGCAGCCTCCTTCCTAAACACCCACGCAGCCTCCTTCCTAAACACCCACGCAGCCTCCTTCCTAAACACCCACGCAGTCTCCTTCCTAAACACCCACGCAGTCTCCTTCCTAAACACCCACGCAGTCTCCTTCCTAAACACCAGGCAGTCTCCTTCCTAAACACCCACGCAGTCTCCTTCCTAAACACCCACGCAGTCTCCTTCCTAAACACCAGGCAGTCTCCTTCCTAAACACCCACGCAGTCTCCTTCCTAAACACCAGGCAGTCTCCTTCCTAAACACCCACGCAGCCTCCTTCCTAAACACCCACGCAGCCTCCTTCCTAAACACCCACGCAGCCTCCTTCCTAAACACCCACGCAGTCTCCTTCCTAAACACCCACGCAGTCTCCTTCCTAAACACCCACGCAGCCTCCTTCCTAAACACCCACGCAGTCTCCTTCCTAAACACCCACGCAGTCTCCTTCCTAAACACCCACGCAGCCTCCTTCCTAAACCCCCACGCAGTCTCCTTCCTAAACACCCACGCAGTCTCCTTCCTAAACACCCACACAGCCTCCTTCCTAAACCCCCACGCAGCCTCCTTCCTAAACCCCCACGCAGCCTCCTTCCTAAACACCCACGCAGTCTCCTTCCTAAACACCCACGCAGTCTCCTTCCTAAACACCCACGCAGTCTCCTTCCTAAACACCAGGCAGTCTCCTTCCTAAACACCCACGCAGTCTCCTTCCTAAACACCCACGCAGTCTCCTTCCTAAACCCCACGCAGCCTCCTTCCTAAACCCCCACGCAGCCTCCTTCCTAAACACCCACGCAGTCTCCTTCCTAAACACCCACGCAGCCTCCTTCCTAAACCCCCACGCAGTCTCCTTCCTAAACACCCACGCAGTCTCCTTCCTAAACACCCACGCAGTCTCCTTCCTAAACCCCCACGCAGCCTCCTTCCTAAACCCCCACGCAGTTTCCTTCCTAAACACCCACGCAGCCTCCTTCCTAAACCCCCACGCAGTCTCCTTCCTAAACACCCACGCAGCCTCCTTCCTAAACACCCACGCAGACTCCTTCCTAAACACCCACGCAGACTCCTTCCTAAACACCCACGCAGTCTCCTTCCTAAACACCCACGCAGCCTCCTTCCTAAACCCCCACGCAGTCTCCTTCCTAAACACCCACGTAGTCTCCTTCCTAAACACCCATGCAGTCTCCTTCCTAAACACCCATGCAGTCTCCTTCCTAAACACCCACGCAGTCTCCTTCCTAAACACCCACGCAGTCTCCTTCCTAAACACCCACGTAGTCTCCTTCCTAAACACCCACGCAGTCTCCTTCCTAAACACCCACGCAGTCTCCTTCCTAAACCCCCACGCAGCCTCCTTCCTAAACCCCCACGCAGCCTCCTTCCTAAACACCCACGCAGTCTCCTTCCTAAACACCCACGCAGTCTCCTTCCTAAACACCCACGCAGCCTCCTTCCTAAACCCCCACGCAGTCTCCTTCCTAAACACCCACGCAGTCTCCTTCCTAAACCCCCACGCAGTCTCCTTCCTAAACCCCCACGCAGCCTCCTTCCTAAACACCCACGCAGTCTCCAGCCAGAGCCAGAGAGAGCCGTTTTCATGTACAGGAATAAAACACACAGTACTTATTTCTGTTACTAATCATTCATATTATCTCAGAAGAACTGGGATAAAAGTTTATAGTTCAGATATAAACACTGATGTCTATGGTAGAGATCAAAATAGAGTAAATCACCGTTTGAAAGTAACTTGACATAATAACGATTGATTACATCGTTACATCAGTAGGTTACTGTTAAAAACGTGTTTGTCATTGAATCATTCATTCAAGAGATTCGTTCAAAAATGCTGATTCATCCAGTAATGAAACAAGTGAACTCTTTATGAGTGAATCATTGAATCATTCACTAAACAATACTTAATTCAGATTAATAAACATTTTAAATAGACTGCAGCAATTAATATTTTGTCCGAACCTCTAGTAAATAACATGTTATTTTGTTTTGTTTTCTGTTCAGAATTGTGGGAGAATCATGATCACTATTTGAAACAAAAATAATGGTAATTCTCAATGTCTCCAGAATCGTGCAGCTCTACGTGATGCTTGACTCTGTGTTGATTATGAAATAAAGCTGCTTGTTTGTTACCTGACTGCGGCGGCCGTCATCCGTCGGGACCATCAGGTTACTGACCGACACAAACCTGCGGGACAAAAGCATGTGAGTGACACGCATGTCCACCAGCCACAGCTGAGAGGTGAGTTCTCACTTCTGCATGATGGGCTCCAGCAGCGCCAGCCCGGGCTGAACCTCCTTCTCAGGGTTGCTGGTCTCCACCATGGTGCTCACGGCAGCGATGTACTTCCCTTCGGCCGCCACGTTATGGGAGTAGGACAGCAGACACACGTAGATATCTGCACACACACACACAGCAGACGCATCTGACGGCGAGCTGCAGACCAACACACACACACACAGCAGACGCATCTGACGGCGAGCTGCAGATCAACACACACACACACAGCAGACGTGTCTGACGGCGAGCTGCAGACCAACACACACACACAGCAGACGCGTCTGACGGCGAGCTGCAGACCAACACACACACACGTGTTATGGCACTCACCTGACTTCCGGTTGAGGTGAGTCTGCGGGAGGATGATCTGGCAGGAGTTGGCGTCATGTGTGTTTTTGATGGGGTGGTTGAGCAGACAGATGACCCGTATTACGCGGCCGGCCTTCTTCACGCGCTCCGGCATATAACTGGGGTCGCAGATCAGCTGCTTACAGCGGAAGACCTGCATCGGCACGCAAACACAGTCAATAACTGTAACAATAACTATACCTATAACTATAACGATAACGATAACGATAACTGTAACTATAACTGTAACAATAACAGTAACGATAACAATACCTATAACTACTGTAACTGTAACTGTAACTAGAACTATAACAGTAACTATAACAGATCATGATCATGGTCATCATGAAGGTGTGTGTCTGCTCACCTCTCCCTCGGATCGCACCGCTGCCACTCGCCCGCCCTCCATTACGATGTCGTCCACGCGTCTGTTCAGCATGTAGCTGTTCCCGTAGACGGCGCTGAGCCTGTGGAGCGACACGCGTCTGTCATGCCTCATGCGTGTGTGTGTGTGTGTGTGTGTGTGTGTTCTCATCGCTCTCATGTCATGTGTGTCAACCTCAGTTACCTGACGAACCCCTGCGGAAGCTCTCCCAGACCGAACAGCGGGTAGAGATACGGACTGAGGCTGTAGCGGGCCAGAGACTCGGAGTACAGCTTGATCCGGTTGATGGTCGCCAGACACGGCTGCTCCAGATAACTGACCGACACACACACACACACACACACACACAGTGTCATTTACAGATGGTTTCACACACTGAAGGAGAAACTGAGTAACATCTACACAACAGAAGAGACCGAGACTCCCAAAAGACATTAGCATAGCATCGCATGGACAATGTTATATTTCCCTAATACCGTTGATTATCGTATGAGTTTGTCTCACTTGTCACTGACGTGAAGGGCGAGAGCGTGACCTGTGAACTCCACGACATCATCGCCCAGGTCGAAGTGACGGAACACGTCCCTCATGGTGGTCCTGCGTGGGTCCATGTCGTGATGCGTCCGGGGATCGTTCTCCTCAAAATTCAGGATGAAGGACATGAACTTACGGAACCTGCGCTTGTCAAACATCCCCATCAGATCTGGAGAAACACCGGGGTTATCAGCGGTAACTCAAGCTAAAAACATCCAGAAAAACATTTACATCACTGGAAATAAACTCAAATAAAATATAAAGAAAATGTGTGTGTGGGGAGGGGGTTTGGGGTTCAGTAAGTTGCCCAGGCAACATTTCTTATTTTATGGAGTTGACTAGTAAAACTAGGTTTGGGAGCGGGGCCATGCCTCAACCAGTCACCTGACTTCTCAAAACCTTCTTATATTGGGCCGCCCCTTAGAGTACTGTTTGTCTCGTTCTCTCGAAGTTCACTCACTACGGATTCAGAGATACAGATTAACTAGCGCGATTCAGATGACGATCATTCCAATTCCACCCCATCAAGGATTATCTCACATCTTTTTCGTTTAAACTCCTTCCTCAGCCCATTCTAACCTAATTCTGAATACGTTCACTCTACACATATTGCCAGAGCATCTCCCAAGATCAGCTCTTTCTTACAGAAAACTGGCTACAAGACTGTATCACCGGCATATCTCCAGCACCCTACTCAATACATTCCTTCCGTATCGGAGCAGCGACTTCAGCTGCCAGACGAGGTATCTCAGAAGAGACGATCCGACTCCTTGGCTGTTGATCTTCAGAAGCTCTTACATTCGTAACAATCTCAGCGACCTCTGTCAAGCCAAGCTCAACTCAGCTCTTCCCAATCTTTGGGGGTCCTAATCACTCGGCCTACATTTAACTGAGATGATGTCCCCACTCTGAGTCTCCTGAACGCCAACACCAGACGCCCAGATCAACCTGACTACCACCCGTTTCCCCTTCCACTTCATCCTTTCCCTATTCATCTCCAACTCTCTTCATCTCAAACTCTCTTCATCCCCAACTCTCTTCATCTCAAACTCTCTTCAATAACAGATCAACCTGACTATCATTTCTTTTCCCCTTCCACTTCATCCTTTCCCTATTCATCCCCTACTCTCTTCATCCCCAACTCTCTTCAATAACAGATCAACCTGACTACCATTTCTTTTCCCCTTCCACTTCATCCTTTCCCTATTCATCCCAACTCTTTTCATCTCCAACTCTCTTCAATAACAGATCAACCTGACTACCATTTCTTTTCCCCTTCCACTTCATCCTTTTTTTAGTCATCCCCAACTCTCTTCATCTCAAACTCTCTTCAATAACAGATCAACCTGACTAGCATCCCTTTTCCCATTCCACTTCATCCTTTCCCTATTCATCCCAACTCTCTTCATCCCCAACTCTCTTCATCTCCAACTCTCTTCATCTCAAACTCTCTTCAATAACAGATCAATCTGACTACCACCCGTTTCCCCTTCCACTTCATCCTTTCCCTATTCATCCCCTACTCTCTTCATCCCCAACTCTCTTCAATAACAGATCAACCTGACTAGCATCTCTTTTCTCCTTCCACTTCATCCTTTCCCTATTCATCTCCAACTCTCTTCATCTCCAACTCTCTTCAATAACAGATCAACCTGACTAGCATCTCTTTTCCCCTTCCACTTCATCCTTTACCTATTCATCTCCAACTCTTTTCAAAAACAGATCAACCTGACTACCATTTCTTTTCCCCTTCCACTTAATCCTTTCCCTATTCATCTCCAACTCTCTTCATCTCAAACTCTCTTCAATAACAGATCAACCTGACTAGCATCTCTTTTCTCCTTCCACTTCATCCTTTCCCTATTCATCTCCAACTCTCTTGATCTCCAACTCTCTTCAATAACAGATCAACCTGACTAGCATCTCTTTTCCCCTTCCACTTCATCCTTTCCCTATTCATCTCCAACTCTCTTCATCTCCAACTCTCTTCAATAACAGATCAACCTGACTACCATTTATTTTCCCCTTCCACTTCATCGTTTTCCTATTCATCTCCAACTCTCTTCATCTCTAACTCTCTTCAATAACAGATCAACCTGACTACCATTTCTTTTTCCCTTCCACTTCATCCTTTTTTTAGTCATCCCCAACTCTCTTCATCTCAAACTCTTTTCAATAACAGATCAACCTGACTAGCATCCCTTTTCCCCTTCCACTTCATCCTTTCCCTATTCATCCCAACTCTCTTCATCCCCAACTCTCTTCATCTCCAACTCTCTTCATCTCCAACTCTCTTCATCTCAAACTCTCTTCAATAACAGATCAATCTGACTACCACCCGTTTCCCCTTCCACTTCATCCTTTCCCTATTCATCCCCTACGCTCTTCATCCCCAACTCTCTTCAAAAAAAGATCAACCTGACTACCATTTCTTTTCCCCTTCCACTTCATCCTTTCCCTATTCATCTCCAACTCTCTTCATCTCAAACTCTCTTCAATAACAGATCAACCTGACTAGCATCTCTTTTCTCCTTCCACTTCATCCTTTCCCTATTCATCTCCAACTCTCTTCATCTCCAACTCTCTTCAATAACAGATCAACCTGACTACCATTTCTTTTTCTCTTCCACTTCATCCTTTCTTTAGTCATCCCCAACTCTCTTCATCTCAAACTCTCTTCAATAACAGATCAACCTGACTAGCATCCCTTTTCCCCTTCCACTTCATCCTTTCCCTATTCATCCCAACTCTCTTCATCCCCAACTCTCTTCATCTCCAACTCTCTTCATCTCTAACTTTCTTCATCTCCAACTCTTTTCATCCCCAACTCTCTTCATCTCCAACTCTCTTCATCCCCAACTCTCTTCATCCCCAACTCTCTTCATCTCCAACTTTCTTCATCTCCAACTCTCTTCATCCCAACTCTCTTCATCCCCAACTCTCTTCATCCCAAACTCTCTTCATCTCCAACTCTCTTCATCCCCAACTCTCTTCATCCCAACATCATCCCCAACTCTCTTCATCTCAAACTCTCTTCATCCCCAACTCTCTTCATCTCCAACTCTCTTCATCCCCAACTCTCTTCATCTCCAACTCTCTTCATCCCCAACTCTCATTATCCCCAACTCTCTTCATCTCAAACTCTCTTCATCCCCAACTCTCTTAATCCCCAACTCTCTTCATCTCCAACTCTCTTCATCCCCAACTCTCTTCATCCCCAACTCTCCTCATCTCCAACTCTCTTCATCCCCAACTCTCTTCATCCCCAACTCTCTTCATCCCCAACTCTCCTCATCCCCAACTCTCTTCATCCCCAACTCTCTTCATCCCCAACTCTCTTTATCCCCAACTCTCTTCGTCCCCAACTCTCTTCGTCCCATCTCCAACTCTCTTCATCCCCAACTCTCTTCATCCCCAACTCTCTTCATCCCCAACTCTCCTCATCCCCAACTCTCATCATCCCCAACTCTCTTCATCCCCAACTCTCTTCATCCCCAACTCTCTTCATCCCCAACTCTCTTCGTCCCCAACTCTCTTCGTCCCCAACTCTCTTTGTCCCCCAACTCTCTTCATCTCCAACTCTCTTCATCTCCAACTCTCTTCATCTCCAACTCTCTTCAATAAATAATTCCCACATTCATGGTTGTGATGTGGTCCTTGCTTGCTCTTCATCCCCAACTCTCTTCGTCCCCAACTCTCTTCGTCCCCAACTCTCTTCGTCCTCCAACTCTCTTCATCCCCAACTCTCCTCATCCCCAACTCTCATCATCCCCAACTCTCTTCATCCCCAACTCTCTTCATCCCCAACTCTCTTCATCCCCAACTCTCTTCGTCCCCAACTCTCTTCGTCCCCAACTCTCTTCATCCCCAACTCTCTTCGTCCCCAACTCTCTTCATCCCCAACTCTCTTCATCCCCAACTCTCCTCGTCCCCAACTCTGTTCGTCCCCAACTCTCTTCATCTCCAACTTTCTTCATCTCCAAATCTCTTCATGCCCAACTCTCCTCATCCCCAACTCTCTTCGTCCCCAACTCTCTTCATCTCCAACTCTCTTCGTCCCCAACTCTCTTCGTCCCCAACTCTCTTCATCCCCAACTCTCCTCGTCCTCAACTCTCTTCGTCCCCAACTCTCTTCATCTCCAACTCTCTTCGTCCCCAACTCTCTTCATCCCCAACTCTCCTCATCCCCAACTCTCTTCGTCCCCAACTCTCCTCATCCCCAACTCTCCTCATCCCCAACTCTCTTCGTCCCCAACTCTCTTCAACCCCAACTCTCCTCGTCCTCAACTCTCTTCGTCCCCAACTCTCTTCATCTCCAACTCTCTTCGTCCCCAACTCTCTTCATCCCCAACTCTCCTCATCCCCAACTCTCTTCGTCCCCAACTCTCCTCATCCCCAACTCTCCTCATCTCCAACTCTCTTCATCTCCAACTCTCTTCGTCACCAACTCTCCTCATCCCCAACTCTCTTCGTCCCCAACTCTCTTCATCCCCAACTCTCTTCATCCCCAACTCTCTTCATCCCCAACTCTCTTCATTCCCCAACTCTCTTCATCCCCAACTCTCTTCATCACCAACTCTCTTCATCACCAACTCTCTTCATCCCCAACTCTCTTCATCCCCAACTCTCTTCATCCCCAACTCTCCTCATCCCCAACTCTCCTCATCCCCAACTCTCCTCATCCCCAACTCTCCTCATCTCCAACTCTCTTCATCTCCAACTCTCTTCGTCCCCAACTCTCCTCATCCCCAACTCTCTTCGTCCCCAACTCTCTTCATCCCCAACTCTCTTCATCCCCAACTCTCTTCATTCCCCAACTCTCTTCATCCCCAACTCTCTTCATCCCCAACTCTCTTCATCACCAACTCTCTTCATCACCAACTCTCTTCATCCCCAACTCTCTTCATCCCCAACTCTCTTCATCTCCAACTCTCTTCATCTCCAACTCTCTTCATCTCCAACTCTCTTCAATAAATAATTCCCACATTCATGGTTGTGATGTGGTCCTTGCTTGTGAACATTTACTTTATATTGAAGTACTAAAACAATGAAAGATATAAAAATGAACTGTAGTTGTGAATGAAGGAACGTTACCTGAGGCTTGTGTCTCGGTCTCAGTGCAGGGAACTTTGTGAAGTTTCCCTCCTTTGAACACGAAACTGCCTTCAGCCACCTTGAAGTCCAGATAGCGAGTGACTTCAGTGTAGAGCAGCATCTTCACCAGCTGCCCTGTAATGAAGAGGTGACATCATCCTCACCATCATCATCATCATAATCACCATCATCATCATCATAATCATCATTACCACACACACACACACACACACACACACACTTGGCACTTTTCCACTGCATGGAACGGTACGGTACGGCTCGCTTCGGCTCGCTTTAAATGGTACCTGGTCTGTTGAGGTTCCAAGCGTACCGTACCGATACTAAAATGTGACGTGAAAACACTACAGATCACTGATTGGTCAGACAGACAGAATTGTCACTATCAGCGTCATTGTATTTGCGACACGAGACACTAAACCCACTAGATTTAAATAACCAGTAGACAACAGCCACCGCTGTAGCACCTTAAAACTACTTGCTTGACTTGCTTGAAGAAAAAAGAAAAAGAAAACTTCCATAAAAAAGAAATGGCTGAATCGTGGTCAGTGGACGAAGTGCAGACGTTCGTCTCGTTGGTTGCCGAGGAGCGGATAAACTATAACGGTCAGACTATAATCCCACCCACTTTGAAGCTGTACTGACTGCAGTGGAAAAGCAAACCGAGCTAAAGCGAGCCGAGCCGTGCCGTGCTGAGCCGAGTCGTACCAAGCAGTGGAAAAGCGGCAACTCTCTCTCTCACAGACACTCACACA